GAACACAAGTCTAATGATAATCTAAAATGTGCAGCCAAAGGTATACTGACAGCCTTTGCATTCTGCATATTGAATCTCTGAAGTACCTTCTCAATGTACCCTTTCTCTGCCCCTCAATATTTCCATTCCAAGGATTTTCTTTGCTTCTCCCAAGTCCTTTATCTTGAATTCTTTACTCAAATGAGACTTCACTTTTTTGACTTGTTCTTTATCTTTGGCTGCTATAAGCATATCATCAACATAAAACAAGTATGTAACCGATCGACTACTTTCCTTCCTGAAGTACACACAACTATCATAATTACTCTTTTCAAAACCATAAGTAGTCATGAATGAATCGAATCGCTTTTACCACTTCATCCGTGACTGCTTTAATTCATACAAAGACTTCTTCAACAAGCACATAGTCTTCTTTTCCAGAAACTATGAACCCTTTGTCAAAAAACCTGAATAATTTCTGAAAAAAATTCTCTCCTCTTTCATTCTATCGTGCCCTATTATATATCTATACAATCTTATAGTCTACAAGGAAATTAAATAAATTACAATATCCAAAAATAGCATATCTAATCTATTCCAAAATTAACTTAAATATATACAGTAACATCCCCCTCAAATTGATGTTGAGAAGTCAACCAGCAACAATTTGCCAACAAGAAATTGATGCCGCTGTTGAGTCAATGCTTTGGTGAAGACGTCCACCACTTGAAGGTCAGAAGAAATGTAGGGAAGGGAGATCACCTGATCGTCCAAAGCATCGTGAATAAAATGACAATCAACCTCAATGTGCTTAGTTCATTCATGAAAGACAGGATTGTTTGCAATTTGAGTAGCACTAGTGTTGTCCGCATGAAGAGGAGTAGAATTAATTTGAGAAAACCCAAGCTCTTTGAGTAGACCACGTAACCAAATAATTTTAGAACAAGCCGTGGACATGGCACGACACTCAACTTCAGTAGATGATTTAGAAACACGATCTTGTTTCTTACATTTCCAAGAGATCAACGCATCGCCCAAAAACATACACCAACCCATAGTTGAGCGACGCATATCTGGACACCCAGCCCAATCAGCATCACTATAGGTAAAAAGTTGAAAAGTCGACCCTCTGGGAAAGAACAACGCACGAATAGGTGATCCACGAAGATAACGAACAATGCGGTGAACAACAGCTAGATAAAGATGTCGAGGACTAGACATAAACTGATTGACCTGATGAATGACATAAGAAAAATCTGGACGAGTAGTGGTTAAATAGATAAGACTCCCAACTAAGCTACGATATATTGTAGGATCATCCAGAAAAACTCCTTCATCTTTCCTGTACTTTACATTTACTTCCATTGGACTGTCTACCAAAGAAGAGAACCCAGCTAACGCAATAAGATCCTAAACATACTTATGCTAATTTAAGAAAATACCATTGGCCCGATGATGAACTTCCAATTCCAAAAAATATAAAAAGCTTACCTAAGTCTTTCATATGGAAAGTAGCATGTAAAAACTGTTGAAACTTCGTAATTAAACCACAATCAATGCCAGTAATGATGATGTCATCCACATAAACTAAAAGAAGCACAATACCCATTGTAGATTTTCGGAAGAAAAGAGAATAATCATACTGACTCTGTATAAAATTGAAGTTAAGGAGTGTGTGATGAAACTTCTCAAACCACGCTCGAAGCGCCTGCTTGAGGCCATACAGAGAATGGCATAGTCTACAGACATCACAAGATTAAGAGGTAGGCATACCAGATGGAAGTGTCATATAAATCTCGTCGTGGAGATCGCCATGAAGAAAGGCGTTCTTCACATCCATCTGATGTAGGACCCATGATTACGAGAAGATTGTCCGAACTATGGTCATTTTTGCAACATGAGCAAATGTTTCCTCATAATAGACCCCATATTCTTGTTTATCACTAAGAGCTATGAGCTTTGTATAGATCCAATGACCTATCAGAGCAAAGTTTCACAGAAAAAACCCACTTACTCCCAATAGGTTTCACATTTGGAGGACAAGACACAACGTCCTAAGTGTGGTTCTCCTCAAGTACCTGAAGTTCTGCTTTCATTACATTTTGCCAACACTCATATTCCATGGCTTGTTTGTAGCAAGAGGGAATGAAAATAGTAGATAAAGTAGCTGATGCGAACCCCGTAGCAACTTAGACTACGAAACTCACAACTAGATTGATGCGAAACCCAAGAACGCTAATTGAAAACCAGTTTGGATTTGAATCCGACAAGATAAAACAAAGAACCCAAAGATAACGATGATGCAATGGACCCCTTGCTTACAAATTGAAGAACCCATGATCCGATGTTGAACGCCACAAGGAATTATCCTTGATAAGTTCTAAATTATTGTCCAAAGAAGAATAAATTGGAAGAAGCAAAAACCTCTCTTGAATTTAATAATAATTGTGAAAAAAAAGTCCTTTACAATGTAATGGAGAGAGTATTTATACTAAAGCTAAAATCGTGCGAAATCGTCAAAATATGGAAAGAAATCTAATTGATATCAAATTCTAACAAAATAAGGAAATTCGTGAAAAAGGAAAATTCTGGCGAATTTTTGTACCATGCGATCGCATGGAAGAAACTATCGTCTCTCGAGGAAACCCTGCGTAGGTCTGTGCAGCCGTACCACTTTAAAACCATGTGGCCGCATGGTTGTTACTTTGGCCTCCGTCTTCTTCTGCTTGTATTGAGTTGATCCACTTTGATTTGGATTTTGACCCGAACACAAAACTTATCCCATTTTGAGTCCCGAACATCATCCCATTAATGGTTTCTTGAACGAGCAATCCCATCGTTTATTTCACTTGCTTTGCTCTCGATCACGTCATCTGTCCGCCTTCGATAATAATGGGTCTCGACCCGGACTTGCCGTCTTCAAGCTTGATTCTTAGATCACATCATCCCCTCCCTCTTCAAAATGATTTGTCCTCGAATTTGCACCTACATCGAAAAGGGAAAGATCAGCAACGTTAAATGTAGCCGATACATTATACTCACTTGGCAAGTCCACTTTGTAAACATTATCGTTGATCTTCTCGGTGACTTAGAAAGGACCATCTCCCCGCGGTTGCAATTTGGACTTTCGCTGCTCCGAAAAATGTTCCTTCCTGAAATGCACTCACACCCAATCTCCGGGTTCAAATGTCACATGCTTCCGCCCTTTGTTTACCTTTGACGCGATGAGCTTGTTCTTCTCTTTAATTTACGTACGGACCTTCTCATGAAGTGCCTTAACCATCTCAACTTTCCTCTTACCATCCATGCAACCTCGTTCAGTCACAGGCAAGGGAAATAAATCCAATGGAGTTAGTGGATTAAAACCATACACAATTTCAAAAGGTGAATAAGAAGTAGTCGAATGTACAACACGATTATAAGCAAACTCAATAAATGGCAGGCAATCTTCCCAATTCCTTAAGTTCTTATTAATCACTGTTCGAAGCAACTGAGTCATGGTCCTATTTACTACTTCAGTTTGACCATCTGTGTATGGGTGACAAGTTGTAGAAAATAACAATTTAATTCCTAACTTTTTCCACAAAACATGCCAGAAATGACTCAAAAATTTAACATTTCGGTCTGACACTATACTCTTAGGGACTCCATACAAACGTACTATCTCCCTAAAAAATAAATCAGCAATAGTAGTGGCATCATCGTTTTGTGACATGGTAGGTAGTGTGCCATTTTACTAAATCTATCAACTACTACAAAGATAGAATCCCGACCTTTCTTTGTTCTAGATAACCCCCAACACGAAATCCATAGAAATATCCATCCAAAGTTCACTAGGTACAGGTAAATGTGTATACAAGCCATGGGGTAAAACTTTTGATTTAGCCTGTTTACAAGTTATGCATTTCTCACAAATTCGTTCTATGTCACTACGCATTTTAGGCAAATAAAAGTGTTCCCCTAACATGTCTAAAGTCTTTGAATTCCAAAATGACCCATTAGACCCCCACTGTGTGCTTCCCTTACCAATAATTCACATATTGAACAATTTAGAATGCACAACTTATTTTCTCTAAACAAATATCCTTCATGTCTATAAAATTTATCAACTGCCATTTTAGCACATGAATTATAAATGTTTGAGAAATCAATGTCATTTTCATACATGCTCTTAATATGCTCAAAATCAAGTAATTTCGCACTTAAAGAGTTAAGAAGCACGTGCCTTCGGGACAACGCATTTGCAACTACGTTTTCACTATCTTGCTTATACCCGATGACGTATGAAAACGTCTCTAAGAACTCCATCCACCTCGTATGTCACTTGTTCAACTTACCTTGACCCCACAAGTACTTTAGGGATTCATGATCGGTGTGTATCACGAACTTTTTAGGCCATAAGTAATGCTGCCAAGTCTCCAACGCTTGAACAAGGGAATACAACTTCTTATCATACGTTGGGTAGTTCAGTGCAACTCCACTCAACTTCTCGCTAAAGTATGCAATAGGTCTCATTTCCTGCATTAACACTGCTCCAATACCTATCCCTGATGCATTACACTCAATCTCGAACGTTTTATCAAAGTTAGGTAATGCCAAAATAGGTGCATTACACAACTTATCCTTAATGGTGTTAGATGTATGTTCTTGTATTTCCCCCCAGTAAAAACCTATGATTTTCTTAACGATTTCAGTTAATGGTGTCGTGATTGTGCTAAAGTCTTTCACGAAGCACCTAACAAAACTAGCCAGACCATGGAAGCTCTTAACCTTAGTTATACTTTTAGGTTTTGGCCATTCTTTAATAGCTTTAACGTTTTCCTCATCCACTTCTACCCTATTAGCACTAACAACAAATCCTAGGAAAATAACTCTATCCATGCAAAACGTGCACTTTATAAAATTAGCATATAATTGTTCCTTTCTTAATACAACAAGCACGCACTTTAAATGTTCTAAATGCTCACCTAGGTCCTTGCTATAGATTAAAATGTCATCAAAGTAAACTATAACAAATTTTCCTATGAAATCACGTAAAACATGCACATTTGCCAAGTCTCATCCTTCTTTGGCACCAATAGAACAGACACAGCACACGGGCTTATGCTCTCCCTCACGTAACTTTTGCTCATCAACTCCTCCACTTGTCTCTGAAGCTCTTTCGTCTCCTCGAGATTGTTTCGGTAAGCTGGTCGGTTTGGAATGATAGCCCCGGGTATGCAGTCGATTTGGTGCTCGATCTCTTGAACTGGTGGCAATCCACTTGACACCTCCTCCGGAAACACATATTTGAAATCCTGTAACAAGGACTTAACCACGCTAGAGAGGGAGGTATTATACTCTTCAAGGGAGAGGAGAGACTCTTTGTAAACTAACAACAACACTTGTCTCTTATCACTCGAAGCCTTTTTTAATTCACTCCCCCTCGCAAAGAAGTTCACTTTTGGCTTTTCTTTCCGTTCAGCTAACTCTTTTTCTCTTCGCTCAACTGACTCTTTTTATCTCCTCTCATGTGGCCTTTCTCTCTTTCCCCCCTTCTCGGCTACCTCGCTATTTTCTCTTTTACTTACAGGCTCACTATCTTCTCTCCTTTTTATAGATTCTCTCGCTCGCCTTTCTTCCTCATTTCTCAGTTCTATTTGGTCTTCATACACCTGAGCCGGTGTTAATGGTGCAAGAGTAATGGACCTTCCATCCTTGACAAAGCTATACCAGTTCCTATACCCATCATGTGTAGCCTTCCTATCAAATTGCCAGGGTCTCCCCAATAGAATATGACCTGCTTGCATAGGCACCACATCACATACAGCCTTGTCACTATATCTCCCAATTGAGAAATTAATTAACACCCATTTATTTACCCTAACTTCCCCACTTTCATTCAACCACTACAATTTATAAGGCTTAGAGTGTCTCAATAATGCTAAACCTAATTTCTCAACTAAAGTTGTGCTAACCACATTTGTACAACTCCCACCATCAATAATCAAGCTACATACTTGATCGTGGACATGGCACCGAGTGTGGAATATGTTTTCCCATTGCTGTTCTGAATCATCTGTCTTGATTTGAGTCTTAAGTGCTCGCCTCGAGACCAACAGCTCCCCAACGACAAATTCCATCTCATCTTCTCCACCAACATCCTCCAACGTCGGCATGTCATCATACTATTCTTCGCTCTCACTTACCACCTCTCCATTATCCCGCAACACCATGGTTCGTTTGTTAAGACACTGAGATGCAATGTGTCCCATCCCCAAACACCTGAAACACTTGATGTCTCGACTTCGTGATGGTTGTGACTCCAATTTTGGCCCTGTCCTACTAGCACTTTCTTCTTTCCCCTTCTACCACTCACTTCTTCCTTTGGTTACTGCTTCATTCCTATTATTATTACCATCCCACTTCGACTTCCAAATTGGGTTAGAAGATGAAGTATTCACCAGCTGCCTCACAGTCCCCTTTCTCTTTAGTTGTTTCTCCATCTTCAAGGCAACATGCAACATGTCCTCCAGCTCCACATAATGCTGCAATTCCACTACATTAGCAATCTCCGCATTTAGACTGTTTAAGAACCATGCCATGGTAGCTTCCCGATCCTCCACCACATTTGCCTTGATCATGAGTTTTTCTATTTCCTTGTGATAGTCCTCTACGCTCCTCGACCATTGATACCGGCTCTGCAACTTCTGATAGATCTCTCTATAGTAGTGGTTAGGAATGAACCGCTTCCTCATCAACACCTTCAAATCCTCCCAAGTACTATTTGGTCCTTCCCCACACCGTCGCTGTGTAGTAACCACTTGATCCCACCAGGTTAGTGCATAATCAATGAATTCTAACACCACTAACTTCACCTTCTTTCCCTCCGAATAATTATAGCACTCAAAAATTAATTTCACCTTCCTTTCCCACTCCAAGTAAGCCTCTGGGTCACCCCTCCCCTTAAATTGAGGAATGGATATTTTGATATTTCCCATATTCGCATCTGCCTCATCTCCATGATTATTCTTATCCCGTCGTTCAGGTCTACCACCTCTAGTCCTCATCCATCCCATTCCCACTCCTCCATACTCCTCATCATTCCATTCACTGCCCAAATCAAATGCTTCCCGTTCCATCGTATGCTCCCGCCTCCCCGGTCTCCTAGCATTAGATATCTTCGCCCGCGGCTCCCCACTAAGATTAGCCACTGTTGTATCCATCCTCATCATCCAAACTTTTTGCTTAGCCCTCCAAGCATCTTGTTGATCCAACCTATCTCTAACAATCCCAAAAGCCAGTTCAAATCGCTGTTTCAAATCCTCCGATGCATTGTTGTGATAGTCTTGTCGGCTTGAGTGGGAACCTTTTTGTTCAAACATTCTCTCAATTTCTGCCTCACCGAATTTCACTCGAAATCACACAATTAGCTTTTACCCTCTAATGAGCTCACCACTTTGCCTTTTACCACTCAATGCTTTCACAAGAGCTTCCAAGAACAATAACGAACTCACTAGATTAAAACCTGCGGATTCAACCCGAAACGTAAGTTAAGAGGATAATTTTCAAGGGATTTGGAAACAAATGGAATAAAATTTGAATGGACTCACTAAATTTCAATGGATCTATTGCTAAAATTGAAGAATTGAAGAAAAAAAAGAATTTCGGATTTTAGGAATTTGAATGTGAACTTGTTGGTAGCAAATCAAGCAATTAATAATTTTTTTTGATGTGAACAATAACTTTTTTTAATATTCGAATGAACAGTACTGGATGAATAGTAATGTTTTTTTAATACAATAAATTATACTACCAACGAAAAATACAGATTGAAGGAATGAATTGAAGAATGACTCAAGAACAAAGAAGAAACTTGGAAATAAAAAAAACTACAACACAAACAAGAAAATTAAAAATAGAACTTGATTAAATTGGGACCAAAGCTCTAATACCAACTTAACCCCATAGCAACTTAGACTACGAACCCACAACTAGATTGATGCGAAACCCAAGAACGACAATTGATAACCAGTTTGAATTTGAACCCAACAAGATGAAACAAAGAATCCAAAGATAACGGTGATGCAATGGACCCCTTGCTTACAAATTAAAGAACCTACGATCCGATGTTGAACGCCACAAGGAATTATCCTTGATAAGTTCTAAATTATTGTTCAAAGAAGAACAAATTGGAAGAAGCAAAAAACCTCTCTTGAATTTAATAATAATTGTAAGAAAAAAGTCCTTTACAATGTAATGGAGAAAGTATTTATACTAAAGCTAAAAATCTAGCTAAAATCGTCAAAATATGGAAAGAAGTCTAATTGATATCAAATTATAAAAAAATAAGGAAATTCGCGAAAAAGCAAAATTCTGGCGGATTTTTATACCATGCGGCCGCATGGCACATTTCCATGCGGTCGCATAGAAGAAACTGTCGCCCCTCGAGAAAACCTTGCATGGGTCTGTGCGGCCACACCACTTTAAAACCATGCGGCCGCATGGTTATTAATTTGGCCTCCGTCTTCGTCCTCTTGTATTGAGTTGATCCACTTTGATTCGGCTTTCGACCCAAACACGAAACTTGTCCCATTTTGAGTCCCGAACATCGTCCCATCAATGGTTTCTTGAACGAGCAATCCCATAGCTTGTTTCACTTACTTTGCTCTCAATCGTATCATCGGTCCGCCTTTGATAATCAATGGGTCTCGACTCGAACTCGCTGTCTTCAAGCTTGATTCTTGGATCACATCAGTAGCAACAAGAGAAGTAGGAGATGAGAAGTCATACTGATCAAGTGGTCGAGAAAGACGTGTAGACCGAAGAAAATCGGTGGGAACCGTAGCAAGATCAGGTGTCGGGTCGAGATCTAGAGAGGGCTCATGAGGGCATCGTTCATACACAAGACCAAGTTTATATCATGCCTCAGTAGCTGGGGAATCAGAAAAGCTAGAGAGAATAGATAAAGATGTGGATGGTAGCTCAGCATGAGAGGAGAAGAAATATTGATTTTCCAAAAAAATCACATTCCTAGAGATACGAATACGTTGAGTATGAGGGTTATAAAAAACAAATCCCTTTTGAGAGATTGCATAACCAAGAAATGCACATTTAATAGACTGAGCATTTAGCTTATGTTGCTCATCGGCAGAAAGATGCACAAAACAAACACAACCAAATGTACGAAGATTAGAATATGAAGGTGAATATCCGAACAACCTAAAGAAAGGAGAAACATGATTTAATGTAAGAGATGGTAGGCGATTAATTAAATGAACCGAATTAGAAAGTGCTTCACATCAAAATCAAGGAGGCATGAGTGAGTTAAATAAAAGTGTTCTTTCCATATTTAGAAGTTGACGATTCTTTCTCTCAGCAACACCGTTTTACTAAGGTATCGAAGGACAAGAACATTCAAAGATGATACCCTTGCTTTGAAGAAAATCTTGAAATTCGTTGGACATATATTCACCTCCTGAATCAGATCATAAGATCTTGATGCAGCTAGAGAATTGAGTCTCAAGAAGGGCAAGAAAATGCTTAAAGATTGAAAAGACTTCGGCTTTGGCCCTTAAAAGATACACACAAGTGAAACGACTAAAATCATTGATGAATGTAACAAAATACTTATAACCTGCATGAGAAATATGAGGTGAAATTTCCCAAATATCACTGTGAATAATATCAAAACATCGTGAGGTGCGAGAGCCATTAGAGGAAAAATGTAGGACTTTACTTTTGTCAACTTTGCATGCAATACATTCAAAAGAAAGATCAAGAGAAGAATATCTTTTATTTTCTAATAAACCAGAATTAAATAAAGTACATAGTACATCTGAGTTTGGGTGGCCTAAACGGTTATGCCACAACTTATTTTCAAGACTAATAGTACATGCAAAAGAAAGTAAATGAGAACGAGGGGGAATTGGGGAAGTAGAGATATCCAAGGGAAATAGACGTCCCACTTTAGGCCCCTTCGCGATCATCTTCCCAGACACTAGATCCTACACAACACAACCGAAATGAGAAAAATGGACATCAAAATTATGATCAATTGTTTGCCCAATGGAGATCAGATTAGTAGAAAGATTAAGAGGCACAAAAACATTAGTTAAGGAAGACGAAATGTCACCAATGGCACTGATAGGCAAAGAACTGCCATCAGCCGTGTGAATGTTAGATTGCCATCATACTTTTTTAACATTGGAAAAAGGAGTAACAGTATTGGTCATATGGTTGGAGGCGCTAGAATCAAAGAACCATGGCTTAGAAGAAACTGGAAGAGTACCTGAGAGTCCCAAAGCAGAAAAAGTGGAATTGATCATCTGTTGTACCATTTTCAGGAGTGAGTGTGGATGGATTGGTAGAGGCAGCAGAAACAGGATTATGAACCACGTGTGAGGCAGCAGGCAGTGTAGTAGAGCTAGAGAAACCAGTGGAGGTATGATAGGCAGCAGTAGACTTTTTTTCAGGGCGAATAGGACAAATAGAGATATGATGGCCTGATTTCTTGTAGTAGTTACAATATTTCTTAGGAAAATCCCAAGCAATATGACCAAAAATTTTACAGTTATAGCATTGGACGACACACATGTCCCGACCCTTATTCTTTCCTTATGTTGCATAAACTACTAGAATAGGTGTATTAATAGTAGCCCTGTGTTCCATGGCAGCCTGAGTCAAGATACGTTGCTCTTTACGCAGTAGTTCCCCCAAGCAGGCAGCCAGAGATGGTACAGGATGGCGATTCATCAAATTAGAATGTGTAGCCTCAAAATCTGGATGTAACTTCATCAAGAACTGATCCCTTTTGCTTGTCTCATGCACTTTCTGAACGGCAGATAGAGCTGCAGCAAGAACATCAACATAAACAATATCGAAATATTCAGACCAAAGATTTTGGAAACCAGAAAAATATTCCTCAATGGAGAGACTCCCCTATGTAAAATTAGCCAACTCATATTCCAACTGAAAACGACGGGCCTTGTTGTCCTACTTGTGTAAAGCTTACTAAGGTAATCCCACATATCAGCAGCAGTTTTGTAAGGTCGTAGGTTGAGAACAAGGTGAGGTTCAATTAAGCTTAGAATCCAGGTCATAACCCGAGTATCTTTGATTTCAAATTTAGACAAAGCTTCTTTATTTTCTTTAGGGGCGGGATCACTTCCATCAAGAT